AAAAATCTTGATTATATCTCTATAAATTTCATAGTTGGTGACCTAGCAACCTCCAAAAATGATCAATGAGTTAGTGGCTTTTGTTAGAATTAGAAACACATCACTTTTGTTTATATACTTGATGTTTTTAAGTCCATTGTAGACATTATTCTTTTTGACATTCCAATTGTCCCATTTTTAGGCCAGTGGGAGACTTTCTGGTATTTTTTGTTTGTTTGTTTCTTGTATTTTTTATTCTGGATTATTCTTTTAAAAATGCCAAATATGTCCAATTTAATTCTGTCCCCCTCATTTGACTCTAAATCTCTCAGATCTTGGAAGAAATTTCCAACTTATTTTGCACTTTCCCCACTTAGTAAGCTGCTAATAAATAGTTGAATTGTGTGGTATTGAGCTACCTTATGGAAACATTCTTAAATGGCCTTTTAACAGTGAAAATAATTTTAAAAGCCAATTTTAATAATAAAATTTAATAAAGCTTTTCAACTCTAATCAAATCTGCAAGTCTAGTCTTGAAATCTTGGATATTACGTGCATTACTGGGATGGGGGTAAGGGAAGAAATAACAGTGCAAAAAGTCAATAGAATAGAGTTGTACAATATCGAGTGGAAGTACTTTAAAATTTTAAGTAAGTATGTATTTTTCTAAAATAGAAGATCATAAATAATTTTCCTAAAGCAGATTCAGTTTAGCTCCTACTGTTAAAATGATGACTGTCACTATAGCATGTTGGAGCAACTAGAAGAACTAAGTATAGATTCTGGGACGCACCTTTTTAGGAAAGACTCTTTCCCTCTACAAAGAGCAGTCTTTTGGTCCACATTAACACTGCTATTTATGCATATATAGGTAAATAAATAGGTAAATTGCAGTATTCCAATCAGATGCCAAGACTAATACTTGGGGCAATTTCCTAAGATCCTCCTCCTCTGAGCTCCACTGACACTTTTCCTTAAAACCTCTTGAATCCTTGTCCTCTTTTTTCCACTTCCATTGTTCTTATACTTTAAACTTTCAGCTTAACTGATTTGCCTCCAATCTTCTTACTATTAGCAAAGTAACCTTTTTGTAAATTGATTATATAACAGTCCTTGATTAAAATCCTTAAACAGGAGTGCCTGGGTGGCTCAGTGTGTTAAGCCTCTCTGCTTTTGGCTCAGGTCATGGTTTCATGGTCCTGGAATGGAGCCCCAGATAGGGCTCTCTGTTCTGCAGGGAGCCTGTTTTCCTCTTTCCCCCTGCCTCACTGCCTACTTGTGATCTCTTTCTCTCTCTGTCAAATAAATTTTTAAAAAATCTTAAAAAAAATAAAATCCTTAAAGAGCTCATTGCCTTTAGGAAAAAAAAAATACACATTTTCAACATGGAATATAAGACCCTTCATGATCTAGCCTTTATTTAACTTTTTGTCTTCCTCCTGTCTGCCTCCTGTAGCATCTCAGGCCCCTCAAGTCCTGTCCCCAATGCTCCAGCAATCTGAAATACTGGCAGAACTCTTACCACCCTAGGCTCTATTGCCTCTTTACCCTTGAATGAAGCTGTTCCCTCTATTTAGAACAAACTTCTCCTTTTTTTCAAATAGTGAATGAAGATTCATCCTTCAAAAGTCAGTCCTGGGGTGCCTAGGTGGCTCAGTCAGTTAAATGTTTACCTTTGGCTCAGGTCATGATCCCAGAGTCCTGGGACCAAGTCCCACATCTAGCTCTCTGCTCAGCGGGGAGCCTGCTTCTCCCTCTCCCTCTGCCTTCCTTTACCCCGGCTTGTACTTTCTCTCTCTATGCCAAATAAGTAAATAAAAATCTTAAAAAAAAAAAAAAGGTCAGCCCTGATATCACCTTCTCTGGGAAGACTTACCTTATCTCCCTCACACCCAGAGTAGATTAGTTGCCTCCACAACCCCCTTTGGTTCCATGGCAGACTTACCATCACCACAGTGATAACTATGGTAGGTGACATTTATTGTCTCTCATAAGCATCCTCATGTATTTAATCTTTATCCCCAGCACGCAGCACCATGCTTGAGTATACCCTCAATGAATGTTTGCTGAGAAAATGAATGGTTGTGTAATTTTAACCCAGAATTTTCCAAATATTTTTTAACCCAGAATTTTCCAAATATTTTATTTTTTCCAAATAATCTTAATCCAAATATTTTTTCAAAGTGGTTGTACTTATACAACTACAAAAATATAACAATTCCCTCTTGCTCCATATCCTCACCCACCATTGTTATTGTCAAACTTTTAAATTTAAAACATTGTGGTAGGTCTGTGGTGGTAACTTATTGAAGTTTTTTTTTTTTTTAAAGATTTTATTTATTTATTTGACAGAGAGATCACAAGTAGTCAGGCAGGCAGACAGAGGAGACAGTCTCCCTGTGGAGCAGAGAGCCCGATGCGGGGCTCGATCCCAGGACCCTGAGATCATGACCTGAGCCGAAGGCAGAGGCTTTAATCCACTGAGCCACCCAGGCACCCCACTTATTGAAATTTTTAATAAGTCTCTAATATACTAATAGATACAGTGTTAGGAGAAGCCTCCTCCCCTCCCCTGACCCTCATATAATTATCAACATTTCCTGAAATATCAAAAGCAAGGCCCTGCTGTTAAACTCATTTAAGAAACAGTAGGAAAACCAGTGATCTGGATCAATATGCAAAACTGTAGTCAAGTTTTTGGAATCAGAACCTAAAACCTGATCTAATCAGTGTTTTCATATTTTTGTATTTATATTAAAACCCAGTGTATTTGTTAAAATGGGACATTCTCAGGTTGCATTTCCTAGAAATTCTGATTCAGTAGTTTAGACCTTGGCTCCTAATACCTATATTTAAAATAAGTATCCTAATACCTATATTTAAAATCAGTATTTTAAGTGATGCAGTTCATTCTAAGTCCTCTGAATGAGAAACTGTTTAGAGAGTAATGCTTCTTCCTAAATGTGTATAGTATAGCACATTACAATGTAATTTATAAGACTGTTTTGTCTATTATCTGGTTAATCCTAAAGCTGGACTATCTTTGTGAGCATATGCAGTAACATTTTTGAAAAATTAAAATTTAAGCCCACTTGGAGAAGTTTAAGACAGACTTTTCAAGAAGTCAAGACCTCTGATCAAGTTACAAATCCAAGAGTAATTATGGGGAAGCGGTATGGTGAAAGATCATTGGTGTTGCTTTCAGAAGGGGTGGATTTGAGACTCAGCTGTGTCATCTTAGGCAGATCACTTAACCTCTTTGAGTTTCTCTTACCTAAAATTAGTATTACACCAGCCCACCAATTTTGCAAACCTGATTAAGATTCAAAATGACAGAGTGGCAAAGTGTTAACACAAATGTAAGATTTAATCACTGTTAGAGGGATGATCATTGTTTTTGACTGACACACCTGCTTGATTTTAAAGAAATAATATTTAGCTTCAGGGGCATTTGTTTCTTGGAATAATCTCAACATCTTCCTACTAAAAGGAAAACTGTAAAAGCTCTTTACAGTTTAGGCAACATGCAAAGAAAACCTTGAGTGACATGATCAAGGATACAAAATTGATTTACAGATAAGACTAGGATTCAAGTCTTCTTATTACTAGCCCAGGTCACTTTCCACTATGCTTTATTCAGTTGTCTTTTTCATTCTTTATTATAGTCCCCAGACAAGGTGATTCTGGCACACCAGAGTTTGAGCACTACTGTTTTTACTCCATTAGATATGGTAGTGGGATGGTAATCAGGGTCTCCACCTTTTATTGCACTTATTTAATAAACAGATTTTTAAAAAGTTTTTTAATTAACATATAATGTATTATTAGCCCCAGGGGTACAGGTCTGTGAATCGCCAGGTTTACACACTTCACAGCACTCACCATAGCACACACCTCCCCAATGTCCATAATCCAACCACCCTTGATAAACAGATTTATTGAGGTATTATTTTTACATACCATACAATTGACCAATCTTAATTGTACAATGCAGTGGTTTTTAGTATAATCAGAGTTATGCAACCACAATTAATTTTATAATATTTCATCACCCCAAGAGAAACCCACTATCTGACAGCAATCATTCTACATTCTCTCCTTCCCACTGCCTCTGGCAACCACTAATCTACTCTCTATATAGATTTGTCTTTTCAAGACCTTAACTATAAATCTTGGCATTTGTAATGATTTGGCTAGAACTAGATGGTATAATGCTAAGCAAACTCAGTCAAAGGAATATACCATATGATTTCGCTTATTTGTGGAATTTAAGAAACAAAACAGATGAAGTTGGGGGGCAAAAAGAGAGAGAGAGGTAAACCATAAAAAAGACTCTTTAGGATACAGAACAAAAGGAGGGTTAATGTAGGCAGGTGGACAGGGGATGACCTAGATGGGTGATTGGTATTTAAGGAGGGCACTTTTGATGAATACTGAGTGCTGTACCTAATGATGAATCACTAAATTCTACTCCTGAAACTAATATTACACTATCTGTTAACTAACTAGAATTTAAATAAACACTTGAAAAAAATTAATAAAATGAAATTACTCTGGAGGGGGGGGCGGGGGAAGACATTTACTATAAACGCAATTATACAATACGTGGTCTTCTGTGGCTGGCTTCTTTCACCTGGAGGGTTTTCAAGATGTAATCATTTTTAAAATTATCGGGGTAACAATAGTTTAGAAATAAAGGGTAAAAAATCATCCATACATTCAATAACATAAATTTCTTTATTTCTCCCTTCCTTCTTTTTCTCTCTTCCTTCCTTCCCTCCCTCCCTTTCTTTCCTTCTTTTCTTTCTTTCTTTCCTTTCTCCGTAGGTATTTTTTCTTATTGGAAAACAGATGGAGGGTCACTCATCCCCACTCTAACCTACCCATCCCCAGACACCTAGTTGCCTACGACCTGGAAGACAAGCAAACCAACGGCAGAGCAGAGGAAGAGTGACCCCGCCCATCCCCTCTGGCGCCTTGCTTGCGTCACTCTTTCTGGCCGCAGACCCCCTCCCTTCTTCCCGGTCGCGATTTCTTTGACAGAGCGCGATGGCGGCGGCCGGGGCTGCAGGGTTGCCGGCCACTGTGTCGGGAAAGCAAGAGTTTTACCAGCTTCTGAAGAATCTGATCAATCCAAGCTGTATGGTGCGGAGACAGGCAGAGGAAGTCTATGAAAATATCCCAGGTCTGTGTAAGACTACATTCCTCTTAGATGCTGTCAGAAATAGAAGAGCAGGTTATGAGGTGAGACAAATGGCTGCCGCACTGCTACGACGGCTTTTGTCCTCGGGGTTTGAGGAAGTCTATCCAAATCTGCCTTCTGATGTTCAGAGGGACGTCAAGATTGAACTGATACTGGCTGTTAAGTTAGAAACACATGCTAGCATGAGGAAAAAACTTTGTGATATTTTTGCCGTGCTGGCCAGGAATTTGATAGATGAGGATGGCACTAACCACTGGCCCGAAGGTCTGAAGTTCCTTATTGATTCAATCTACTCTAAAAATGTAGTTCTATGGGAAGTTGCACTTCATGTTTTCTGGCACTTTCCTGGGATTTTTGGGAATCAAGAGCGGCATGATTTGGATATCATCAAACGGTTGTTGGACCAGTGCATTCAAGATCAAGAACATCCCGCAATCAGGACATTGTCTGCTAGAGCTGCAGCTGCATTTGTACTTGCTAATGAGAATAATATTGCTCTTTTCAAAGACTTTGCAGATTTGCTTCCTGGAATCTTACAGGCTGTAAATGACTCGTGCTATCAGGATGATGATTCAGTGCTAGAATCCCTTGTTGAGATTGCAGATACTGTACCTAAATATCTGGGTCCTTATTTAGAAGATACTCTGCAGTTGAGTCTGAAGTTATGTGGAGACTCTAGACTTAGTAATCTGCAACGCCAGCTGGCCCTTGAAATAATAGTGACCTTGTCTGAAACTGCAACCCCAATGTTGAAAAAACATACAAATATAATTGCACAGGCAGTTCCTCATATATTAGCAATGATGGTTGATCTACAAGATGATGAGGACTGGGTAAATGCTGATGAAATGGAAGAAGATGATTTTGACAGCAATGCAGTTGCTGCTGAGAGTGCCCTAGACAGACTGGCTTGTGGGCTTGGTGGAAAACTTGTTTTACCAATGACTAAGGAGCACATCATGCAGATGCTTCAGAGCCCTGACTGGAAATACCGACATGCTGGATTAATGGCCTTATCTGCCATTGGAGAAGGATGCCATCAGCAAATGGAATCAATTCTAGACGAAACAGTTAACTCTGTTTTGCTTTTTCTTCAGGATCCTCACCCAAGAGTGAGGGCTGCAGCCTGTACTACGCTTGGACAGATGGCTACAGATTTTGCACCTAACTTCCAAAAGAAATTCCATGAAACAGTGATTGCAGCTCTGTTGCGTACCATGGAAAATCAAGGTAATCAGCGTGTGCAATCACATGCGGCTTCTGCACTTATTATTTTTATTGAAGACTGCCCCAAAGCATTGCTTGTTCTATATTTGGATAGTATGGTGAGAAATCTACATTCTATCTTGGTGATTAAACTTCAAGAGTTGATTCGGAATGGAACTAAACTGGCCTTGGAACAGCTTGTGACGACCATTGCCTCAGTTGCAGATACAATAGAAGAAAAATTTGTTCCATATTATGATATATTTATGCCATCACTAAAGCACATTGTTGAGCTTGCTGTTCAAAAGGAACTTAAGCTTCTGAAAGGAAAAACTATTGAATGCATTAGCCATGTTGGTCTTGCTGTTGGGAAGGAAAAATTTATGCAAGATGCATCAAATGTGATGCAGCTATTATTAAAGACACAATCTGACTTAAGTAATATGGAAGATGATGACCCTCAGACATCTTACATGGTTTCAGCATGGGCTAGAATGTGTAAAATTCTTGGAAATGATTTTCAACAGTACCTTCCACTAGTTATTGAACCTCTTATTAAGACTGCTTCAGCTAAACCTGATGTTGCTCTCTTAGACACACAAGATGTGGAAAATATGAGTGATGATGATGGATGGCAATTTGTAAATCTTGGAGACCAACAAAGTTTTGGAATTAAAACTTCAGGACTCGAAGCAAAAGCAACTGCTTGCCAGATGTTGGTTTACTATGCTAAGGAGTTAAGGGAAGGATTTGTGGAATATACAGAACAAGTTGTAAAGCTTATGGTTCCTTTATTGAAATTTTATTTCCATGACAATGTTCGAGTGGCAGCAGCAGAGTCTATGCCTTTTCTCCTGGAATGTGCAAGAATTCATGGCCCAGAGTATCTTGCCCAGATATGGCAATTCATATGTGATCCCTTAATTAAGGCTATTGGGACTGAACCTGATACAGATGTACTCTCAGAAATAATGAATTCTTTTGCAAAGTCCATTGAAGTAATGGGAGATGGGTGCCTTAACGATGAACACTTGGAAGAACTAGGGGAAATACTCAAAACAAAACTTGAAGGGCACTTTAAAAACCAAGAATTGAGACAGGTTAAAAGACAGGAAGAAAACTATGACCAACAGGTTGAAATGTCTCTGCAAGATGAGGATGAATGTGATGTTTATATTCTGACCAAAGTATCAGATATTTTGCACTCATTATTTAGTACTTATAAGGAAAAGATTTTACCGTGGTTTGAACAGCTGCTTCCATTAATTGTAAATCTAATTTGTTCGAGTAGGCCATGGCCAGACAGGCAGTGGGGATTGTGCATTTTTGATGATATTATAGAGCACTGTAGTCCAACCTCATTTAAATATGTAGAATATTTTAGGTGGCCAATGCTACTAAATATGCGAGATAATAACCCTGAAGTCAGGCAAGCTGCTGCTTATGGCCTGGGTGTTATGGCACAGTTTGGTGGAGATGATTATCGTTCTTTATGTTCAGAAGCTGTTCCGCTGCTGGTAAAAGTTATTAAGTGTGCAAATTCCAAAACCAAAAAAAATGTCATTGCTACAGAGAACTGTATCTCAGCAGTAGGGAAGATTTTGAGGTTTAAGCCTAACTGTGTAAATGTAGATGAAGTTCTTCCACACTGGTTATCATGGCTTCCACTGCATGAGGATAAAGAGGAAGCTATTCAGACTTTGAGTTTTCTCTGTGACTTAATTGAAAGTAATCATCCAGTTGTACTTGGTCCAAATAATTCCAATCTTCCCAAAATAATCAGTATAATTGCAGAAGGAAAAATCAGTGAGACTATTAACTATGAAGATCCCTGTGCCAAACGCCTAGCTAATGTTGTGCGTCAGGTACAGACTTCTGAAGAATTATGGTTGGAATGCATATCCCAACTTGATGATGTGCAGCAGGAAGCTTTACAGGAGTTGCTAAATTTTGCTTGATGCACTTTAATGTCACTTGAATATTTTTACCATGAAAGTAATTCCAAATAATTATTGTGAGCGTATTCCATTTTAATTGAGAGAACTGTTCTCCCTGCTGAACAGTTAATATTCCTTCCCTTTATGTTTTTCCAGGATTAGTCAGTGTTCTAGCCTTATGTTAACCTTGCATGTTTTATCTCTTAAACACAGAACTTGGTGATAACTGTGCTTCTGTTGTCTTAGAATGTTTGTCACCTTTTCCCTAGTTGATGTGAAGTATATAAAGTGTTGTTACTTGTCTGAATTATTGATGGTGAGCAAACAATATACTTGTGTCAAGATGTCATGTTGCCTATCACAAGATACTGAGAGCTAACAAAGATGGAACTTCCAGGACAAATATTTTTGGAATTATAGATGAAAAATAGTGGCAAGCTTAATTCTTCCTTGATAATACTGCCGGTTTCCATGGTAATGGGAGGATGCTGAAATTGGGAGTTTTGAGATAATTGCCATGGATGTGAGGAGTTTTCTCTATCTAGCCTATGAACTTTTTTATAATGTCCTCCTGGGAACAGGGTGAGGCATATTCATATTCTAGTCCCTAAGGAGAACTTGAAAATCTTAGCCTGATTGAACTCTATTTTTCAAGTTAATCAGGACTCTCTAAGAAGTATGGTTACTGAATAGGCTGTCCTGGTACATGTAACATTGGTAGCTTGTAACACCATTATTCAGTGTTTGACAAACAGTATTTGTGGGAGTCTATTAATATTATGTGTTTGAAGAGAATATTGCATTGTGTATGTATGCCATTTCTTCCCTGCAAAGCAGCCCAATAAGAAGAGAAGCCCTGGTTCAAAATGGGTCTTAAGTAGATTTCTATTTCGAAGAAGTTCTTAATAGATTCTATAGTAGCACTGAAGAGTATTCTCTTATGAAAATGAAAGGGAAGCAAAATTAATTATATCTTTAAATATGAAAAATAAAACAGCTTTGAGACCAATCATTTAGCAGTAGATATGCATTTTAAGAAAACAGTTCTATAAATCTAGAGTTAATTTTATTAATTGGAATGTTGATCTTTAATGTCAAGCTTTTTGTAGGGTAGAAAAAAGTTTTCTAGTAAGCAAATCATTGATCCAAAATTTAAGAACAAATATATCTGTCATCATTTCCTGGGGTTATTGTGAGTACTATGTATGTAAAGTATTTAGCAAATATTTAACACCAAGTAAATGCTTAATAAATGGTACCCTATTAGTGCTGTTGTTTGTACCTATATCTTGTTTTCTTATGGTTTAGAATTGCTTTTACATTAGAATTTCCCTGATTCACTCCTTGCCAGTTCAGAAGAACAGGCCATCTAGGCTGTTGTGGACAGAGATAGGAAGTTGAGATTTTAGATGTGGAATTCCTGTCCATTACCGACAATGATTTATTATTAATAAGGGAAAAAAGGAAAGGACATTAATTATGGTATAGTCACAATTTTATTTAAGATAAATAAAAATACACATAAATAAATAGAAAAATCCTACCATAAAATATTAATAGAAATTTTCTCTGGGTGGTGGGATTAAATGGCAATTTTTCTTGTCACTAATCTATATTTTCTAATTTACCTGCAACCAACGTATTTTTTGTATAATAGTTTGTTTTTGTTTCTGTTTTTGAGTTTAAGGACCCAATCCTACTTTCATTATAGCTAAGAACACAATCATCTTGGCCTCTACATGATCTATAGCTGATGTTCCTTCAACTCATACCTGTTTATCTTAATATCCCTTCAGAAGTCCTTGGTCAAATTTCTAGCAATTCCTTACACCTTGCATTAGGAACTGGATATTCTGCCGGATGACTTGGAATTAGGCACCATGGAGAATTTTATGATAGAGAAGATATGATCGATAGAGATATATGATATGATAGAGAAGGTATATGACAGACCTAGATTTGAATTTTGGCAAACTACTTTCTTAACCTAAGCATCAGTTGCTGCATCTGTAAAATAGACATAATACCTAGGATTGTTGCGAGAATTAAAGGAGATAATATAAAGTGCTTGGTGGCACAGGGTTCAATAAATGCAATCTATATTATTAGAGAATCATGAAATAGGGTTGGTAGCTAAAGATGAAGATATTTGCTAGGGGGTGGTGGGTCCAGATTCTTGGGCTTTGTCAAAGGAAATGATGGATGTCCAGTCAGACACATTTTTCCTTGCCAGTTGCTGAAATTAGACTGGTTCCTGGCTTTGTTCCTGTGAGGTACATCTAAGGGCTCTAAGGAAAGAGAGAATGCTGTAAGGGCCCAATAAGTTACAAATGTCTGATGAGAGGAGACCTTGAAAACTGGATAATAGGAACAATCCAGTGTTCCCATTTAACTATTTTACCGAATATTGCTATTTAACTTACTGTCCCCCAAGCTTTGAAGTTTTGACTTTTATCAGTGCTTTAAAGGTTCACAATAATCAAGAATTAAATATACCGACCATTTGGTTCGATGGCTTCTACTTTTAAAATGCCTGATTTCTAGGATGGCAATTGCACGTATCAAGCTAGAACATTATGCGTTAAGTAGAAAGATGTGTGTATCTTTCTTATAGAAGATGAGAAAATAATACCTGCTTTATGGAACTATTAGCTCCTTTCTCCCTACTTTAAGCAATACCTAAATTAAAGTGAACGAGTCCACTTTTTAGACAGTCTCTAAACAGTAATTTTTAAATGTGTAGTGACATTGTAAGGCTAATGACTATTTAATGCTGTACGCCTTAGACTTGAATTATTTGAAGATTGTTTTTAACCGCAAGGATTTTTATTAAGGTTCCATTTCCTTTATTTATTCTTAGCAGATCTCGAGAACCGAGATGAAAATGTTAGTTTTAACACATTAGATTACTTAAAATAGGAATTGATCTAAAGAACTGGGGACCGGAGTTTTAGAAATTTGAGTTCTACGAATTATCTCTTTTTCTTTTGCATGTGAACGTATGTTTCAGTTGGTTGAGTCCTTGAAACTCCTTTCTAAACTTTCCAAGTTCTAGTTTTTTATTAAAAATCTGTTGGTCACAAAGAGGAAGGTGGGGGCAGAGAACATAAAATTTTTAACAGGATCTACATTTTGTGCCTTCTCACTACTCATTTGCCATTAAAGAGTGTTATCTAGCAAGCTCCTTCAGAATTATTCTTAGTTTTCAGGGCTAATCAGGATCTCGCAAAATAAAGAACCTCTTGCTATACACGCTTCTAAAAGCTCTTCGACCTTTCTGGCACCGACGAGTACAGCTGCGCAGGCGCCTTGCTTCCCTCTCCAGTCCGCCTCTAACAGCCGTCTACAAGCTGATGACATCATTGAGCTGCGCAACCTACCAGGCCTCGGGGTCCGAAGTCTGTGCTTTCGCGTAGCTGGGCCGGACGCATAGGGGGTGGGGGGGGGGGGGGGGGGCGGCGTCGGGGGGGGGGGGGGGGGGGGGGGGGGGGCTGTCCTACTACGCATGCGCACCGTGGATGGCGACGGTGTCTTTCTTTGCCTTTTTCCACAGCTAGCCCCAGAGCTTGCGGGTAGCTTGAGTGCCCTCCCCCTTCTCTCCTTGCCCCTCCCCTTCCTTTCCCCGCCCCCGGCCCAGCGGGACTTCTAACTGACAGTTGTCGCCGGGCCTCGTCCGCGCGCCGCCTCCTCCTCCCCGGGTACCCCGCAGGTAGAGAGGGGCGGGAGTGGGTGTGAGGGAGAGGAGGAGCCCCAGACGCTGCAGCCCAGTGCTGCGGCCCCCTCTGGGGCGACAAGAGAAGAGTCCCCACTTCCTCTTCGCCGCTTCCTAGCACCCCGACAGCTGGTCCGGAGGGGGTGGGGCGCCAAGGCCGCGGCAACTAGGCGCGGCCTGGCCGGTGAAGAGCGGGCGGGCGGGGCGCGGAGGGGTGAGGCTAAGGAGGGCCTGGCGCGCGCCGCCGCCGGGGGGAGGGGAGAGGAGGGCACCTAGGCTCTCCTCTTCTCTCCCCCCTCCCTCTCGCGCCATGTAACCCCGCCCCGCCGGCTGCGAGCTCGAGACCCCCGTGAGTAGTGAGCGGAGCTGGCGGCTGAGAGTGGAGCCCGATGGGGCTGGTGCTGCGAGGCTCGGCCGAGCCCTGAGGAAGCAGCCCGCGCTTACGCGTCCCCCGGCGCCTCGAGCGGCCGCTCCACACGGCCCAGCCTGATCCTGCCGGGGCCATGAGCGTGCCCGAGACGCCGGGGGAGATGGAGCCGGCCGGGGAGGAGGAGTGGCAGCCACCGGCGCCCGAGGAAGAGGACGTTGAGGCGGAGATGGCAGCGGCGGTCCCGGCCTCAGGGCCGGCCCAAGGGAGGAGTTCCTTCTCGCGGGAGGATGAGGACGACCAGAAGAAGGAGGAGGAGGAGGAGGAAGAGGAGATGGTAGTCGGGGGCGGTGGCTGCAAGGAGCAGGAGCTGACCTATGAGCTGCAGCAGGGTTACCGCATCCTGGGCGAGTTCATGCAGGAGAAGCACCGGGGCCTCACCACCCCCTTCTTGCAGCCCTTGGGGGGCGTTGCCACTGGGGAGGATGAGGTGGCCGAGGGGCCGCGCGGCGGGGTCCGGGGCGGTCGCGCCCTCCCGCAACAGTTCGGGCAGGGCATGTGTCTGCTGAAGATGGAGGAGAAGTTCGCCAGCGGCCAGTATGGGAGCATTACCGAGTTCGTGGCGGACTTCAGGTTAATGCTGGAGACGTGCTACCGCCTGCGTGGGGTGGACCATTGGATCTCCAAACAGGGCCAGAAGCTGGAGATGATGCTGGAGCAAAAGTTGGCGCTTCTCTCTCGGTAAGTGAACCCCATCCTGGATGGGACTGATGGAGTGACACAAACAGCCTCTCACGTGTCTGAAGATGGATTGGGCCGGGCGGGGGGGCGGGTGTCATAGCAGATAGGTGCAGAGTTGGTGTTGAGAACCCAGGGAAAAGGAGCAGCCTTGATTGGGGGCCGGCAAAGGTGTGATGGATGTGGGCACCTAGATGAAAAGCCGAAAGGGAGCCGAGCCCTGAGCCGTGAAGAACAGGTAAAGTTTGTAGGTATAAAATAAAATGATGCCGATGGGAAGAATTACGAGGATAGGGTAGAGGAAGAATTTTAGTGTGATAAAATTTGGACCACAACTTTTAGACAGTTTTAACATGACATTAAAAAAAGTTTTTAAGATGAAATGTCGTTAGAAAAATGTGTTTGGCTCATGTAAAAAGACGGTCGTTTCAAACCAAGAAATTTATCGTTTCATTACATGTCGGCCATCGTAAATTTATGGAGTGGTTTT